GGAGGGGGGCGGAGAGTCACAAGGGCAATCGATCTGTTTCTCTTCTCCCAAACAGCGCCAATTTCCCAGTGCAAATGGGCTTAACCTGGCGGTTGCCCAGAGCAGTGAGAATGGCTGGGGGGGATGGAAGACTTGTGCCGCTTTTGCAGGAAGGGGAGAGAGAATAGGAGGCTGGGGCGGTGGGGGTGGGGGTTGACGTTTCTATCCCCGCCCTCTCCCCTACACACACACACACACACACACACACACACACACACACACACACACACATACACACACACAGGGCTCCCTTTATCCCAAGAGCTTGGGCGCCGCCACAGCTCGGATTACTCAAGCGTGCTTTAGCGGAAGCCAACCAAGAAATCTCCAAAACTCAGTGACAAACAGCTACTCTGGGAAGGTGATCTCCACGGCCACCAGCCACAGGGCTCTATCCCTGAGCTCCTCACGCCGCAGTAGCCAAAGCGCCCTTAACTGCAAAGAAAAGACAGGTGGGAAAACAGTTCTTCGATGAGGAATATGTGTAAGCTCTGTTGGCGCTGGCACTCAGGAGGTTGAAGATCGAGAATGAACGACTTAAGGATGCAAGTTTAGCCTCAGGGTGCAGCTCGGATTCCCGGGCTCAGTGGAGGTGGGCGCTAAAGCCCGAACGGAATTGGCACACGGATCTCTGCTCATCGCCGAGCCGAGCCTGGGAAAGAAGGAAAGCCGCCCGCGCCGCGGAGCATGCCCAGTTTCACTGCTTGAGCTCCTGGGGCGTTGCAAGGTTGGGGGGTGATTCGTAGGCTGCGAAAAAGATGAGATGGTCAAAGATGAGAAGGCCAAAAACTGTGCCAGCGACTGGTAGAAAAACAAGAAAAGAGTTTGAAATGGACGAGGCTGGGCGCCAGAGGGAAGGAACAAAAGGTGGGTGGGGCTAAGAATTACCAGCCTTGGTGTGACCTCCGATGCCACTCATGTCCTGAACACACTCGCCACATCATTCTGCTCTCATCTGTCCTTTCTGAGGGATACTTTCGTTTAGGATAGGAAAGGATTCAAGGGGGGCAGAATCGAGTTCTCTTCATTCTCTCTTTTCTAGGCTGACAAAGTGGGAATCTCAAGGTATGCATACACTTCTGTTCAAACAGTCCTCCCGGAGGCTTTGGAAAACAAATGTGACAAGCCATGTGAGCAAAGCGTGTTTTCAAAGTTGCTTTTCTAGTTTTTCTTGCTTCTTTTCTCTTTATTTATATTGTCTTCCCCCTTTAACCCCTCTGCGTGCCCCTTTTTCTAAGTGGAATTTGCCACCGCTTCAGTCTATAGAGTAGAGCACTTTCCAGCTGGCAATAAGGGTCCAGAGATCCCTTTCAAGATATGTAGTTCCATGATAGAGTTTTAGGGGTTCTTGCAGCCCATTAATTTGTTTTGCTTATCCCTTGAGTAAACTGGGTATAATTATGTTTTCTCAGTTACAGTCTAAAATCTGATGTGAAATAAGGAGACTGGAACTGAGAAGGGCAGAAAAGCAGGGTTTTAAGAAGGTGAATCATGTGGGTAGCAATACATAATAAGGAAATCAACATAGTAACGTTTATTTTCTGTTCCAAAAGCCACAACCCCCAATCCAAACAAAAGTAATAAACTGTGCAATAAGCAGGGTAATGTAAATGAATCAAACAGAAGACGTTGCCCAAGAATGTCTAATTTTACAGTCAATTCTCTTTACTTTAAAAAGAAGCAACCTATGGAAGTCTCTAAGTTCTTAGAGTAGCTTAAACTTTCCTGAAGCTATAAAATTGTCTCTGTCGAAATATAAGAAAGGTACATTTTTCCAACGTACAGCTTTATCCCCCCATTCCCTTTTTAAAAATAATAAGTAGATCATTCTGTTCGCTTGCTGTAGCTGGGCTTCAAGAAGACTGAGTTTCTCTCCCAGGTGCTGAATGCTTGGAGCTATCCATGGTGCTGACTCTGCTGTACTTGTTCTCTGACTATAACCATAGACAACAGAACTGCAAACTCAAGCAAGTGGTCTTGATGTGTCCATATACAACACTCTACTTTATCAGCTATCCACAGAAACACAAAGCGCTAGCGCTATCTGCTCCCATTTAAAAATGACTGTTCTTTTCTACTTCTTAACTAAAACCCAAGTTCATCTTCCTCCCCAAAATGCATTAAGGACTCCGGAGAAAACTGAACAACGTATATATTGTGTGGATTGCAAATAAAGTTTCATATATAAAGTTGCACTGTAATTACATTTTCATGGCATACTAATACAACAGAAAATTATGGCAAGGTCATCTGGCTAATATATTAAAAATGCGCATATATTCAGTGAATGAATACTGCTTTAAGGTAACAGCCATTTCTAAATACAGTTTGAAGCACAAAGTTAGTATGTCATATGATAAGATGTATTGACATGCAGATGGTAACTGCACATAATGTCTCAATTTATGAGTTGAAAGCTAACTTTCACAGGCTACTGAGTTTGTAAATTCTTGAATTCCACTTTCCTTCAAGAAGAAAAAGTAGTTTTCTGCTCCCTACTGTAGTCTCTTTCTCTACAACTTTTAGAGTGGTCTTTGTTTGGGTTGGTTAATTAAACATATGAGGGTTAAAGTTACACTGTCTGTGTTACATATGAGTAAGCTCTGTGGGATTTACATTTTTTTCCAGCCTCATTTAGCTCTAAGATTAGTTCTATTAAGGATTCAGTGTAAGATCACAGCACATTTTATAACCTATGTATTGTAATTGATTGATATGAGCAGACGATTAAAGGCATCCTGCTTCTAAATTACCCCAGTAATCGTGTTCATGCATTATACATTGGAACAGTGGAGACAAGTACATTAATCTATATTCAGCCAATAATAGAATCCAACCATAAGATGGTAATCATGGATGCTTGCTGGATAGAAAATTATCCTTCCCTTCAGACCCACCCTCTACAAAAACTAAATTGATATTTTCCACTGAGACCAGGTTTGATAAGTTTTTAGTACTTTTGCACCTTTTTTGAAAGTCCAAATATTGAAGAAAGCACATAAGTTCAACTGTTACAATCTTGTGTGTACAGCTTAACCCTCAATATAATCTACTTATAGGCAATGATACTTAATAGATTGCTATGTTCTTAAAATTACCTCATTATCTACATTACTTTAAAATTAAGCATTTAGTATTTACAAAAGTAATTAAATTTAAGTGCTTATCACATAATGATACTCAATTTTACACACATAAAATTCTGCATACAAGCTCACAGAATTAATAAAACCTGCTTAAGAATCCTACATTAGAAATTATTCAAGAATCATAGGTTATTTCTCGAATCTTTAAGGAAACAGTGGCAACCATCATTATGGGATATTTAAGTCACTTTCTTATTTTGTCAGAGAATGAAAACTTTTAAAGATCATATACACAATGTGTTTTCTTTCACATTTTTAAAATTCTGTAGAATATAGATCAATGAAATTAATGCAATTTTTCTCAGTTAACAAAACTAGCTAACGATCTGATGATGACCATGCAGCATTTCAATGGCTATTTTAATGTAGTTTTCTATGGAATTTTGGGTATTATCCTATTACTTTGATCACATTTAACAGAAGAAATATCTAACTTCACAGTTACAAGTTAGGCAGATTTTGGTTTATATTATCATATGTAGTTTTAGAATCACATAAGAGGCAGAAATTTTGAGGTCATCTATGAAAACAGCGAAGTTTCTGTGCAGCATAGAATAGTGGAAAGTGCAAGAAAGAAATTAGGTTCTAACATGAAATTGCCGTTTATAGGAGAAAATAATGAAAATAAGTAAAGCTAAGCTATTTTGTTCATAGTTTTATTTCTAAAATCAATATAATAGTTCCCAACTTTCAGTTTTATGTGAATAAGAAGATAAATGAACATACAGTAGTTAGCATAAAATCTAGTATATAATATATATTTAAATAACAACTGCCCTAATATATAAATACTATAAGTTTTAAAAATAAGTAAATTAATATATCAACATTAAGATCTAAAATTTAACTAATGAAGCCTAAGGTTGTGCTAGTGTTGTGTGTGTGTGTGTGTATGTGATGAAAAGTAAGGTATAGAATGGAGTAGGTGAATCATCCTCTTCTGAGTGATTTAGACTAATGCCAGTGACTGATCCTAATATATTAGTGTAAACATATCTAGGTAGAAGATTGAATATCCTTTCAGAAAATTTAGGATAAAATACTTTTTATGTTTTATTTTAGTCAAATTATTATTCACATCACCTCAGATACTTTTATGACAACATATTCCACAAGGTAATTGTTAGCCAAAGGTTAATATTTGCTTCATCTTATAGATAATATGTGAGTCTTGCTATAGGAATAAAGTCTTTTCTGCGAGGAATGAGGTGTTGACAGTCCCTTCCCTAAAATATATCTATTTCTGTAGAAAATGATCTGTCCAAATGTGTATCCTGAATACATCATCAATAATTTACATATGAACTAGCTAGTAACTTAACTAAATTATCAGCATTTATTTAAAAAATACATCTATAACTTTGTTGAAATAAAAAATCATATACATATTCTAGGTGAATATTTGGTAGAATGCATTGGTAGGATTGTTTTACAAGATGATTTATTTATTAAATTTAATAAGTAATTTATCACATGAATAAAAAATGAGCACGTTGTTACATATAGCTTTATTGAGGGCTAAAAGTGTATGAAGCTTCTTTTATATCAGTAGATCTTAAAATTGTGTTAGTTGGCAAATTCATTATTTTAATTATACAAATTAATTATTTTTTACATTCATTAATTCTAATTTGTTTGCTCTTTACACTGTGAAGAAAAGGTTTCTTTTCTGGACAAAATGCACTTGATTTAAAAAAAAATTATAAAATTTCCTCTATCAGTTGGGCATGGTGGCTAATGCCTGTAATCCTAGCACTTTGGGAGGAGTAAGTGAGAGG